CACCCTTTTTCCCTCATCAATTATATGATTCACCTCATCTTTCATAGACCCATCCGCTGACACGTCCACTCCATTAACTGAATACATTCAACTCCTCCATACCCTCTCCCTCCAATCTGATATCCAATCTTTCATCACCTAATCTTTTTGTTATCCTCATAACCTTACTCTTTCCTGTATTCACTTTTAATTTTCTTCTTTTGCACACCCTACCAAATTCATCCACCAATCTCTGCAACTTCTCTTCAGAATCTCCCAAGAGCACAGTGTCATCAGCAAAGAGCAACTGTGACAACTCCCACTTTATGTGTGATTCTTTATCTTTTAACTCCTCGATCATATCCCCCCTAATTCTACGCCTTTCGAGAGAGTGCAGATTCAGGGCCCTCAGTCTATCCTCATAGGGAAGATTTCTGATACATGGGATCATCTTTGTCATCCTCCTTTGTACGTTTTCCAGAGCATTTATATCCATTCTGTAATACGGTGACCAGAACTGAGCAGCATAGTCTAAATGAGGCCTAACCAAGGATATATAGAGTTGAAGAACAACCTGAGAACTTCTATTATTTATACTTCTAGATATGAAGCCAAGAATTCTGTTAGCTTTATTGCGAACACTAATGCACTGTTGTCTTGGTTTTAGATTACTGCTAACCAGAACTCCTAAATCCTTTTTGCAATCGGTAGTATTAAGATCTACATTATTTAGTTTATATGTGGCATGGTTATTTAACTGTCCAACATTTAGAACTTTGCATTTGTCAATATTAAACTGCATCTGCCACTTCTCCGACCATTGCGTCATTCTATTCAAATCATCCTGGAGTGCTCTAATGTCCTCATTAGAATGAATTGGACGGCCTATTTTGGTGTCATCAGCAAATTTGCTTATGTCGCTATTTATTCCCTCATCTATGCCGTTTATGTAAATTGTGAACAACAACGGGCCCAACACTGACCCCTGAGGAACACCGATTGTGACGTGCCCCCATTTATGCAAACTCTCTGCTGTCTATTTGTCAGCCATGCCTCTACCCAGGAAAAAATTTCTCCTCCTATTCCGTGTGCCCTGTTTCCTCAATAGCCTCTGGTGTGGAACTCTATCGAAACCCTTACTGAAGTCCATATACACAATATCATATTCATTACCATGATCTACCTCCACAAACACCTTAGTGAGAAAAGTTGGTAAATTCGTAAGACAGGAACGCCCCTTTGTAAAACCGTGTTGAGAATCATTAATCAATCTGTGCCTGTCAAGATGGCTACGAATTGCTTCGGCAATTATTGATTCCATAAATTTTCCCACTATGGAGGTAAGGCTTATTGGTCTATAGTTCGAAGCCAAGGACCTGTCACCTGCCTTGTAAATAGATATTACATTTGCCATTTTCCACTTATCAGGCACTATGCCAGTTTGTAGTGATATGTTAAAAAGATTAGCCAAAGGTATGCTATCTAGTCTCCACTAGTCTGTTCGTTCTCTCCTGCTACCAGCCATCATCCTTCTTCTCCTGTTGAATACTTGCTTGAAAAGCTTGTTTAGTTCCTAACAGATCTCCCTGTCGCTGGTTGTCACCTCTACGTCTTTAAGAAGACTCGCTTTGTCCTTTTACTGTCATCATCTGTCGTTTGTGGTTACAGAAATTTTCGTACTACCTTCACATTTTGCTGTCATATCATTATTATATTATCACTGCTTCTCCTGTTTATCTCGTACATTCGTTTTTTTTTTTTTTTTTTGCTCATCTGCTTGCTTCTCAAATGACTTTCATCCTATATTTTCTGCATTTTTTCACTGACTGGTATTTTTTTTATCTTCGCCTATCTATAACTGTAATTAAAGCATGGATTCTTCCCGTGAGCAAGATTCTTCCTGCAGATTATTATTATTATTATAATCAAGGGGAAGCGCTAAACCCGGAGGATTATACAGCGCCTAGGGGGGGGGATGTGGAAGGCATTCAGGCTTAATTCGGGGAACTGGAGCACAGATCCAATTCCCTAAATCAAGAGCCCCTCACCAACATCAAGGAACCTTCCTTGAGGGGTCTTCCTGCAGAACATTAAACTTTCTCACCACCCTAAGGCTGTATAAATATTTCCTATTATCACTGTGGCTCATTTGCGTCACTGAGTTCCATTTATGTCCCATTTTTCTTGCTTTCCACCTCTTGAACAGTCTTCTTTACCTGTTCACCCTGTCAAGTCATCTCAGTATCTTGTTCACCGTAATCATGTTTCCCTTGATCCTTCTATTCTTGAGTGTCATCAGGTTCGGATCTCTTAGTATCTCCTCATGTATACTTTACGTCTGCATTTTCTCTAGTTTCTGGACATGTTTTATCAGGTGTGCAATTCATGATAGTTTGCATTGTCAGTGGAACGCCTTCCAACTGAACAAAAGAAACTAATGGAAAAATAAATAAATAAAGAAATGATTTAGGAAAAACAAGAAAAATGATTTTTGAGAATTTTACTTAAAATTTAAATATAATAAAAAAAATATGGCCTTCAGTTCTTGTAGTTGGGTAGGAGTAGGTATGGCCCTAGATAGTTCCTCTGATGTTATTTATGTAGGTTATCCGGGGCAGATGGTAATCCGATGTTCTGGAATCTCCTACCACTTGGATGGAGCACAAGTAGAATAGGTAAGGGCCGGTAGTTGTAGAATAATGTTAATAAGTATTATTAACACGTCTTGCCCCTTTATCTGGCGTCTATCCTGGAAGACCACGCCAGGAACAGAGCTGACAAATAAGAGAAAATAAAACTGGTTACCCATAGTCATGATAATATAACATTTAAGAAAGAAAAAGAATGATAAATGTCAAAATCATTACTGGTAACCAGCAAACACTAGAAAAGAACAAACAGTAATACTCCTGGTAGATCACCCTACCTGATTAGGAGAAGAGTGGAGGCGAAGTGACTCTCCAAACTTCAATCCACACCAGGTAAGGTCAATATTACCAGGAGTAGAAACTTTAACAAATCGGACACCAGGAACTAGTTTTGCCCCAGCCCGCCAGAGAGGGGGGGGTGTGTGCGCGCGCAACATAACTCGCTAATGGTTCCTGGGTGCCCGAACAACCTTAACCCCACTTACACCTACTTTTCCCTCACATGCATACATCTGGCAAGCTTCACATATGTTGCATAACGGGTCATGAATTACTTATAAGGTTACTAAATTATTCGGGTAAGCCAAGCCTCAGGCGATATCCATGATATTTACCCCTTTTTGCATGAGTGAGGTTTTTATACCATTTTATACCACTTCAGGTCATCATTTTTCCATTTCCAATTTTCATAGCATTGCATTTTCTAGAATTAAATTCCAGTAGCCACTTGTCTGAAAAACCCTTCAGTTTGCCCAGGTCATATTCGAGTCATCTGCGGTAAATATTTTCTCATTAATTTCATTTTATCTGCAAGTTGGGCTACACTAGAATCTGTCTCCTCTAGAATTTTTGTTTAAATACATTAGGAGCAGAAGTGATTGTTGTAATGATCCTTAAGGATGGCCTGGTGGTTAACGCTCTCGCTTCACACGGTGAGGGCCTGGGTTCGATTCCCAGCCAGAGTAGAAACATTGGACGTGTTTCTTTCCACCTGTTGTCTATGTTCCCCATCAGTAAAATGGGTACCTGGGTGTTAGTCGACTGGTGTGGGTCGCATCCTGGGGCACTGACCTAAGGAGGCCTGGTCACAGACCGGGCCGCGGGGGCGTTGACCCCCGGAACTCTCTCCAGGTATCTCCAGGTAAGGATCTCCACTTGTCACTCTAGTCCTTCCTGATGTTTCCTTAAACGCCGTCGCTCTGTTTTCTTTTTCTTTTTTTTTCAAGTATTCTTTACTCAGTTGTAAAGCGTTTCTATTTATCACTGCCAGCTCTTCTAGTTTCTAAAACAGTCATACATGCAGATCAATCTCAAATATTTTCTTGCACTCCAGGAAAATGCAGTCCTCCCACCCGTTTCATTCCCTCTTAATTACTATTACCATGTGACAGAACTCCAGCAGGTTCATGAAATAGAACTTACCTTGGTTTAAAAAAGACACTGGAGCAAACACTAGGATATATTTATTAGAAAACGTTTCGGTCCTGGGGCCTGGTTTGAAGTGATCAAGGTCCCAGGACAGAAACCTTTTCTAATAAATATGTCCTCGTGTTTGCTCAAGCGACTTTTTAAACCAATTTGTTGGTATCAGTTTGTGACATGGCATCTCTTCACGAGCTTCATCTCTCTCTCCTCAAGATCCTCTTCTCGATTTCCATAAATAGCATGCATGACAAAGACCCCGACTGGTTTAGCGCTTTCTCCCTATAAAAATGTAACAATTGCGAGCGGCATAAATCTTCAGTGACTGATGCATCATATAAGGATGGAGCTCTTCATGGGTTAAGGCTGTGTAAGTACAAATGTTGTTGGATTCTGTGCCATGTGTATAGATCAGGGCTGCCTGTCTGTCTCCTACTTTATTATTTGGACTATATTCACTACATTCCTTTCACCTGGGTTTTTGCTCTTTGCGTTTGACATCTAGCTTTTTGAAGTACTCCTTTGTTCTTGCACTTTTTGTCCTTATTTACACCGTCTCCGTTTCCTCGTTTCTGTATGAGTTCTTCCTCTACTTTGCTAAGCACTACATTATTTCTTAAGATGTCCTTGCAACGTTTTCTCACCAGAGGTTTAATTTGTCTCTTCTCTCGCCCGTGTTCGTCTTCAAGTTTACTTCCACAAGAAAGTCGAACTTCAGGACTGTGTGTGTGTGTGTGTGTGTGTGTGTGTGTGTGTGTGTGTGTGTGTGTGTGTGTGTGTGTGTGTGTGTGTGTTAAAGCTTCTACCCTTGTTTAACAATATTACGCATGTGTTTAGGAATTTCTAATAACGTTAAGACTAAGTAAGGAGGAGAGATGCAGCCTGGGGGGCCCTCACCACCTCTTGCAAGTTGCACCCTCAAAAACTGACCATGAAAAAAATATCTTCAGACAAGATTACAGAAATCCCTTCGCTAAGACCGGACATCTCCCGGTGGTGTCTGAGTACCTCCCTCCTTCACATCCCTCTCTCTCTCTCCAACTCTCCCTCTCCCTCACCTCAACACTTGGGCCTGGTATTTCTTCCTGGTGGTGTGGGAGGTAGTGAGGAGTGAGAGTTGGTGAGGTAGTGTGTGAGGTGGCGCGTTGGAGAGTAGGATTTAGCGGGGTTGGAGGCTCGCTCCCCACCACAGGAGCCTAAGCTCAGGTAAGCCCTCAAAGGCGCTCCTCCAGCCCTCTCTCCAATCTTCCCTCCCTCCCTCCACACCTGCTGCTGGTGCTGCTGCTGCTTCAGTTGATGCCACTGCTGTTGGAAAGGGAAGGTAATGGTAGTAGCACTTTGGTTGATGCTACTGATGGTGATGTTTTTGGTGGCAGTGAGGTTGATGACAACAGCCGTGATGTTACTATTAATGTTGTGTTCCATGGTGGTGATTTTTTATGGTGGTTTTGGTGATGGTGGTGGTAGAGATGGTGGTAACTATAGTGGGAGAGGTGATAGTGACAGTGGTGGGAGTTACGACAGTTGTGATGGTGGTTGGGATGGTAGTGGTGATTGTGGTTAAGGTAGTTGTAATAGCGGAGGGGAAGGCAGAACAAACGGAGCAGGTTTTTTTTTTTTTTATTTAAACGGAGCAGGTGGTGGTTGTTGAGAGTGTTGTGGTGTAGGAGGAAGTGTAGTGGAAGTCAGTGTGTTTGTAGTCATTAAACGCAGTAGATATAGAAGAAGAATATTGTGGCAATAACACCAACAGCAGTAGCAGCAACAGCAGCAGCAGCAACAGCAGCAGCAGCAGCAACAGCAGCAGCAGCAACAGCAGTATCAGCAACAGCAGTAGCAGCAACAGCAGCAGCAGCAACAGCAGCAGCACTAACAGCAGCAGCAGCATCAACAACAGCAACAACAACAACAGCAGCAACAACAACAGCACTAACAGCAGCAGCACCAACAGCAGCAGCAGCAGCAACAACTGTAGCAGCAACAACAGCAGCAGCACTAACAAAAGCTATAGCATCAACTGATTGCAGCAGCAGCGCTAACAGTTGGAGAGACTCATGGCTTATTTTATACCATTAATAATAAGATAAGCGATAACAACAGTAGTTTTTTTGTCTGTTGCTGTTGGTAGAGTTGTCACCTTTATTGTGGTTGTTGCTACCTTTGTTGTAGTTGTCACTTGTTGTAGCTGTTGCCACCTTTGTTGTAGCTGATGCTGCCTTTGTTGTAGCTGCTGCTATCTTTATTGCAGTGTGTCTAATTTTGCTGTAATTGTTACTTTATGTTGAAGTTGTTGGTATCTTTGCTGTTGCTGTTAGCCTTTGTTGATGTTGTTGATGCTGTTACTATTGTTGCTACTTCTGCGGCCACATCTGTGGGAGTTGCTACTACTTTTACTGCTGCTACTGTTGCTGTTGCTACTACTGGCGTACAGATGAACTGAGATCGTAGACGTGCTTCATGAGACTTCGGAGTCAAAGATAAACATTAATCCTCAAATCCCAGCAAACTGCTTTAATTTGTTTTATTAAGAGATCAAATAATGAGAATTAGTCTCTACAATATTTTTAAAACTAATTTATTACGTTTTTTTTCTAGTGCATGTTATGTCCACTGTTGCATTCAGTATCAGGTTTGGCCTCGGCAAAATTTCTAATAGAGTTTACTCATGAGTGACATATTAGCAGTTTTTTGTTACAATATGAATAAAATTAACAGAGTTGATGTTACATTGTGTAGACGCACACACACACACACACACACACACACACACACACACACACACACACACACACACACACACACACACACACACACACACACACACACAATTTTTAAAAGAAGAGACAGACACAAAGCATTAAACTACAGACCAGTGTCACTGACGTGTGTAGTATGCAAGGTCATTGTGGCATGCAAAGAGTACGTAACCTTTATTCGGCGCATGTACACACCCTCATTTACAGGCTATCTCCCCCAACCAGCGAACCAGGGAACTAAGGGTTGGCGATGGGGCCCCGTCGTTCAACCAGTAACCAGGTTCCAGCCAATGAGAAGATGGTTTTGGCAATTGCAGAGGTTATGTGGGTACCACTCTCCTGTCTGCCCTTGTCATTCCCATTCTAGAGCTGGTTGAAGCACGGTCTGCTCTCTAGTGGCTTCTATTCTGCCTTGCTTACCGTGGAGTGCACTAATACCTATCCCTGTACATAGTGTATATAGTGTACATACTTCTGTTCTAAATTGGTGAAGGATAATATAAGTCAAAAGTTTTCTGCTGTGTTTATTTTGCTCCCTTTACACCCAGGATAACAGGCCTTTGGGACTCCTGGGTTGTAATAGTCATGGAGAAAATTATCAGAAGAGTGGTGGAGCACCTAGAGAGGAATGAGCTTATCAACGACAGCCAGCACGGTTTCAGGGACGGGAAATCCTGCGTCACAAACCTACTGGAGTTCTATGATAAGGTGACGGCAGTAAGACAAGAGAGAGAGGAGTGGGTAGATTGCATTTTCTTGGACTGTAAGAAGGCGTTTGACACAGTCCGACACAAGAGATTTCTGCGGAAGCTGGACAACCAGGCCGGGATAACAGGGAAGGCATTACGATGGATCAGGGAATCCCTGTCAGGAAGACAACAGCGAATCATGGTAGGTGGCGAAGTATCAGAGAGGGTGCCTGTAACGAGCGGGGTGCCACAGGGCTCAGTCCTAGGATCGGTGCTGTTTCTGGTATTTGAGAACGACATGACGGAAGGAATAGACTCCGAAGTGTCCATGTTTGCAGATGATGTGAAATTGATTAGAAGAGTTCAATCAGACAAAGACCAGGCAGAACTACAGAGGGATCTAGACAGACTGCAGACCTGGTCTAGCAACTGGCTCCTGGAGTTCAACCTCACCAATTGCAAAGTCATGAAGATTGGGGAAGGGTAAAGAAGACCACAGACGGAGTACAGTCTAGGGGCCCAGAGACTACAAACCTCATTCAAGGAAAAGGATCTTGGGGTGAGTATAACACCGGGAACATCTCCTGAGGCGCAAATCAACCAAATA